GTGGATTGTGATATTATAGTTAAGCTTTCAACTTTTGGATTTCTCTAACCCTATCTAAGAGATAAAGAGAAAAGACAACTAGTCTTCAAACTCAAACTTTATTGAGCCTGGAACATAACACTCTTGTTTAGTGAGCTGACTTGGCTGCATTTAGTTGGCTGTCTACAAACCAAAGGAAAAGGAAGGGATACTTTGGGAATCTGTCCTGTAGATGTAGCAATCTACATTACCCAGTTGAAAGCTCTATTCTGCCAGGTTCTATTATTATCAAATTCCCATGTATTTGAAAGCTTTATATCTCCCTTGAGACCTTCTGATGAATGTGAGTCCACCATTCTTCCAAGAACCTGCAGATCCAGGACTAGCTAATGAAAAGACAACTTATAATACATTTACTGTTTGTTTTTTTTTTCTCCCGAGTGGTTTTTGCCACAGAGTGCGTGCAATGGCCAGAAAGAGAGACAGAGACAATGAGAGGAAAAGTGAGAAATCAACCTCTCTAGGAGGATTGGTCATACCACAATCCTTTCTCCATTCTCCTCCTAGGATCTTGGGCACACAAGCACATGTGCCAGGAGTGATTTTCAAACCAAGAACAACCACGTGGGAATCCAGCAAAGTAACCATCACGCCATCTGCTGGCCCATTATACATTTACCACGAGATCTATTTCTGGTGGGCAATATTTGCGTTACTACAGCCCTGTGTCCTGTTTAGTGTGTGTTCACACAAACACAAAGGAATGACAAGTTGGCTTCAAAAAATTGTGAAGCAGAGAGAGAATAAAGGAAAGGCATCCTCAGTAGCATCTCACACTGTGATTCTTGCTCCAGCCTTTCCAGCAGCCAGGATCTTGGGCCCGTTCATGTGTATAGCTGACATGTATAGATGAGTACAGGAACTGAACTCATGACCTTCCATATGGATCCAGCATCACAGAACAGCATGCCACCACTGTACCACTGAGGCTGGCCTTATTTAACCCATTTTTAAAAACTTAATCGTGTTTTCTATGAGGTAGACAGTTAACCCCAATAGGCTTCTCACACTACAGTCTACCCCTAGTCTTAGCTGGCCTAGATTATGAACATGCACAGGAGCTCCTAGGACATAAACCTAAGACCTTTCCCATGTGGGTCCAGTTGTGTTACCACTGCACCAATATTTGGTTCTATCATTTTAACTATTTTTAAGTGTACATTTAAGTGTAGCATTAAGTACATTCACATTGTTGAACAACCACCACTACTATCTCTCCAAAACTTTTCTCTCTTCCCACACTGAAACTCTGTTCTCAATTAAATGGTAATTATTCATTCTCCTCTTCACCCTCAAACCCTAGAAGTCACCGTTTGACTTTCTGTCTCCATGAATTTGACTACATTAGGAACCTCATATAAGTAGTATTTGTCTTTTTGTGACTGGCTTACTTCACTTAGCTGAATATCCTTAGCTCATCCATGTGGGTGGTGTCTGTTCAGAAAACTATTATGGGTATAGTTCTTTCATGCCATATGTGTTTGAAATTTCCATCTGCCAGAAATGTATTTTTTTTCCAAATCAAGAGAATTATCTTGCCTCAGAAAAATATTCTACATTAAAAACAGCCATCTCATTAACTAGAATGTGAATTTCCTTCCTTCTTAAGGTTGAACAATATCCCATTGTATGTATATACTACATTTTGTGTATCTATTTATCCGTTGAGGGATACTTGAGTTGCTTCCATCTTTTGACTACTGTGAATAATTCTGCCATGAACATGGGTGTGCAAGTATCTCTTTAAGTTCCTGCTTTCAATTCTATTGGTTATATACCCTGAAGAAATAGTGCAGGATTGTATAGTAATTCTATTTAGTTTTTTGAGCAATTGCCATGCTGTCTTCCATAGTGGTTGTGCCATTTTATATTTCAGCCTAAAGGGCACAGACTTCAAATTTCTTCACATCCTCAGTATTTTTATTTTTTGGGTTTGTTTCCTTATTTATCTGTTTATTTTTTACAATAGCTGTCCAAATAGGTATGGTTTTGTGGGTTTTATTTGCAATTCTCCTAATAATTAGTGATGTTGAATGTCCTTTCTTTTGCTTATTGAACATTTGTATACTTGGAAAAGTGTCTATTCGGGTTCTTTGCCCATTTTTAATTGGGTTTGGTTGTTAATGTTGTTGGAATCCTTTATATAGTCTGCATATTAACCCCTTATCATATTCATGATTTGTAAATATTTTATTCCATTCTGTGAGCTGCTTTTCACTTCACTGAAATGAAAAGGTAGATCAGAATACACTAGAACCTTCTCTTTGCCTATATTAGAAGCTTGGAGTGACTCCTGAAAGCAACAAGGCATTGGTGACCTTCATCTGGGGAGAAAATGGTTAATTCTATTGAGATAGTGACTTAAGAGTCACTGGGGAGCCTTTCTTAGACTGAGGTGGAAGAGGATACTAACCCATTTCACTCTTTCTTCTCAACCCTCCCTTCCATTCATCCTTTTCCGTTTTTCTTCAACAAATATTTATGAGTGCCTCCCATATGCCAAGAACTTCAGTTTGTTACTATTGACCAGTCTCTGAGGTGTGGAACAACTTTCACTGCAATATGATTTTAAATGCTACACAGTCACTACATTTTAAGAATACATAAATTGCAAGGAATTAAAAGAGATAGTGGAAGAACCTACATATTAAAAGAGATGGTGGGACCAGCAAATGGCATAGTGATTAAGGCTCTGGACTCCCACATGGCTGACCATGGTTTGAGTTCTGGACCCAGTGGCTTGAAATTCATGCCAGGCACATGTGCATGCATACTCAAAATCCTGAAAGGAGAATGGAGGAGAAGGGGTTGTGATCTCTTGTTTTCTGTCTCTGTTTCTTTCTGTGTCTCTGGTTAGTGCATGAGTCCTGTGGCAAAAATCTCTCTCGAAAAAGATGTAAAAGACATACTGGGCTTTTGGAAAGTCATTGTGCATTTTTGCATAGAAAAAATATGTCATGACTTTACTGACAACCCAGTAATAACCAGTTGCAATATATGACCCTTATTTGAATTCTGATTCAAGCAGTTAAAAATGAAAGACATGGGGCCAATAGGTGATGTAGTGGTTAAGGCACTGAACTACCCACATGGCCGAGTGTGGTGTGAGTCCCTGACTTGGTTTGAAACTCACACTGGGCACAAGTGGGTGCATGCCCAAAAGAACAATAAAAAATAAATGACATTGGAAATTTGAACACTGGATATTTGATGATAGTGAGGGATTATCATTATTTCAGATATGATGGTATTCATATCATAAATCATTTTTAGAGATACATAAATATTTACAGATCAAATTATATGTTATTTGGGATTTGCTCTAAAGTAATCAGTATGGGGAGAGAGTAAGAGGCTGCAATGAAACTAAGATTCCTCATGGTTGCACTGTTGGTGCTGAGTGATAGAGTCTATCGTCATACTATTCTGTCAACGTTGTACATCTGAAATCTTCCAAATTTAAAGTTTTTTAAAAATAGCAAATGATGCCATGAGGAACTTTATCCCTTTTCAGTACTCCTTCAATGACTATTATTCACGTGTCATTAGTCATTCGGTACCACTAACCACTCGTTATATATTATTTTTAAAGAACTATTTCACTTGACTTACTTATTCATTTATATTTAATTTTGACAAGAGAGAGAGAGAGAGAGAGAGAGAGAGAAAGTGAGAAAGCCAGCTATCAGATCCAGGACTCCCAACTATGGTTGGCTGTGTGGGAGTGTCCAGTGCCTTCACCACCACGCCACCTGCTGGTCCCCTTCACTATATATTATTGTGGTTAGGTCCTGTGTTCAGTACATGGAGGCCAGGCTCTGTGCCCTGATGTGTCTGTCTTTCTCATGTTCCTGAGACTAATGCTATCTAAGAGTTCTCCACTTTTCCAGGCCTCTCCATTAAACTGAGACTCAATTCCACTTCTTTTCTAATGGTTTTCTTCTTTTCGTGATGGTTTCAACACACAGCAATCCCTATGAACTCTGAAATTTACTGCTTGTTTTCTGGGCCAATGGTGAGGGTAGGGATGGAAAGGGAGTGGGAACAAATTACCGCCTGGACACATCCCACATCAACATTGTCAGGTGGCCTCTTGATAAGAGGCCTGAAGAGGCTTTTGAGCCCCAAACCCACTTCTGACATTCAATTAGTACTCTTCTATGTGGCTGAAAGGTTTCACTCCTCAGATGTCTGTTATTGAGAACAAAGACTCCCTGACAGGAAAGCAAGATCTGTCCTCCTAGATAGCAGAGCCTGGCAAATAGTATAATAGATAATCAGTATATGTTGAGTCAGAATCATGCATCTTTTATGTCTCAGTGTTTCTTCCACAGTGCTTGCTGAGTTCACGTGATGCCTTGCAATTCCAGGTTATTTAAATAAAAACTAAACCCAGCACTTTAGTACTTACCCTTCTACACCACTTTACATGAGTTTCCAGTTGTCTTCCTTTTGTTAAGAATCCACCCGCAGTACCGCCCCTTCCACCAAAACGTGCAAAGCTTTGTCAGGCAAATTCATTGCTTCCTTGCTAGCTGGGTCACCTGTCTGCAATTGTGCCCAAAGTGAGATTGGTGTTAATGTGTTTATATCTGTCTTATCTGCTGGGCTCTGAGCTCCTACATGTAGGGTCCCCGCCATTTACCCAAACTAAGCGTCTACTCATGTAATGTAGTTACAAAGAAAGCGTTGGTTTGTGTGCATGGTTTGGGCTGTCCTGGGGCCCAGGATGATTTGTACTGCATTTGTAGAGTACATCAAAATTAGTCTCCACATGTTAAATATCTTTGGACGCTCCAATAAGTCCATAATTCTGTGTATGAGTAGGGTCAATATCTCCACTTTACTAAGGAGAGACAGTCTCAGGAAGTCAAGCCCTTTTCAGCAAGGTCACACAGGACCAGGCAGGTGCACTCCAACTGAGACTGCCAAGCGGCGCGCCAGGGGCGTTTTGAGCTCCTTCGGCTACCGTCGTCCGGTCCTTTCCGCGCACTCTCCTAATGCGCCTGCGCGAGTGCCGTCCATTTCTTCTTCAGCCGGGAAGGACGTTGCTGCTGAGGTGAGTCCGGGTCGCTTTCGCGTTTCCCTTTGGGGTTCTCACAGGTGCCGCCTTCCGCGCTGCGTCTGCCTTAGTTGAGTCGCCACCCCGTGTCTCAGCCGTGGTGGAGCCTGAGGCCCACGGCAGCCGCCCACGCCCCTGCTGCGGAAAGGGGGGGAAGGCCCAGGGGTCGGGTGGGCTGCGGCGGCCGGGTGGAAGCCGCGGTGGCTGTGGGGCCTCGAAGCTCCAGTGAGCTTCCGAGTCGGCCGGCTGGGGCCCGGTTCCCGCTGCGTTTTTCTCTGTGTGACCTTGGTTAGGTCATTCGACCTCTGCAGGCCCAGTGAAAAACGTGTTTTTTTTTTTTTTTTTTTCTCCCGGTCGG